CTGCACTTTCCACAGGAGGAAAGAAAGGTGTGATAGCATCTATAGTAATACAGAGAGCTGCCTTACGGGAGGAAAATCGTGGGAGCAGAAGCAGGTCTGAGAAGGTGTGTGTATGTGGGTGTGTGTGCAATGTGTGCACATATGAACATAGCTTCATCATTTCCTGTCCCAGGACCTTGTCATTTCTTGACAACATGGCCTTATTATTTAAAGAGAGAGCGAGAGAAATGCCCCTATGCTTGTTTTGATGATGCAGCTCTCAAGGGCATAGCCTATTCCCCTTCCCCCGACAGGCAGGAACACAATCTAGGCCCCAGGAATCCTCTCCTGGACTTTTAAATCACAGGGTAGAAAAGCATAGTCCCTGGAGGGCCCTGGCTGTGGTGTGCACTAGCACCCCAGGAATACTGGGAGTATCTGTCCCGGTGGGGTATGTGCGTCTGTCTGCCAACTACAGGAAAAGTGCTGATGTCTCTGAGAGAAGGAGCCTCTGCCGGCGATCAACGCAGAGTCCAGCCTCCCTCTCTAGCTGTGCCTGTACGTTGTGGGTCTGTAACTAGTAAAGTTAGGGTGTAAAGCCTGTATTGCCAGCACTTGGGAGGCAGAGACCGATGTTCAGGTGTGAAGCTAAGCTGGGCTAAAGTGTGTTCAAGATCAGCAAGGGCTATAGTGTGAGGCCTGTTTCAAAAAAAAAAAAAAAAAATCCTGGAAACATAAGAAGTTACAAATGTACAAAACAAAAAGTTTCATATTGACAGTTTTTGTTACTGTACAGTTACATGAAATTTCCACAGAACTGTAAGCACTGAATTAGTCACAAACAATTAAAGCTGAAACTTTAAAAGAGATTTGAAATAAAATACTAACTTTGCTTTCCAAAGCTATCTGGGTCTCAGGGCAAGAGCTGTGAGCAGCTGGATCCACGTTCTGAGCCTTGAGGCAAAGGCAGGCTGGGCCACAGCAGGGAAGAAAATGGACAGGGAAGAAGGGATCAAACTGCTTCTGGTTTTGCTTTATTTATTTATTTATTTATTTATTTATTTATTTATTTATTTATTTATTTATTTAAAGTTTTCACAGTTTTTCAAACTGTTTCAAAATGTGACATTCTAATGAATACAAAGAAAATAAATTGAAAGAAACTATTTAGTTGAAGACAAAGACAAAATTTCTCTTTAGTTATAGAAATATCCATAGAGTTTTTTGCTTTTTTAAAAAATTTATTGTGTGCCTGTGTGCATGTAAATGTACATGTGTCTTGTACGCATATAAAAGCAAATGTGGCCAGGTGGTGGTGATGGTGCATGCCTTTAATCCCAGGCCGAGGCAGATGGATCTCTGTGAGCTCAAGGCCAGCCTGGGCTACAGAGTGAGTTCCAGGATAGCCAGGGCTACACAGAGAAACCCTGTCTGGAAAAGACAAGCAAACAAAAAGAGCAACTGTGTGTGCATGTGTTCGCTTGAGCAGAGGCCAGAAGAGTGCCCCAGGAGTTCTCCATCACTCTCTTCCTGGTCCTTTGAGGCACGGTCTCTTCCCTGAACCTGGAGTTTGGGTTTCTGAGCTAGCCTAGAAGACAGCAAGCTCCAGTGAGCCTTCTGTCTCGAGCCCTCGGGGTTCGAGTCACAGGTGTGTGCAGGCTACCTGGCTTGTAAGGGGGTGCTGAGATCCGAGCCCTGGTCCTCATGATGACGTTAGTCATCTCTCCAGCTCCCTGACTTGGGGATATTACAAAGAGCAAACCCCTTGAGTAGAAACTTCCAGGAATATAATTAATTTGTAGCTGCTCACAAGACAGCCAGAATCTTTCCCATTTAGAAAGTCATCTACATCTTTTATTTTTGGCTAATAAAGCATTATTTTGACAACTCTAGCCAAAGCCATTCATATCCGCAATGCCTACTAGAGGAAGTAGAAGATGAGGTCATAGCTCTGTGGGAAGAGTGCCTGTCTGGCATGCATGAGGCCCTGGTTCTGCTCTCCAGGACCACAAAGCTGTGGTAGCGCAGGCGCTCAAGAGGTGAATCAAAGCCAGCCTGGGATACATGAAACTTAATCTCAAAAAAGTACATTGGTTAATAGGAAGGAAGGAAGGAAGGAAGGAAGGAAGGAAGGAAGGAAGGAAGGAAGGAAGGAAGGAAGGAAGAAAGGAGAAGCCAAATTGCTTAAAATGTTCTATTTTTTTAAACATTTATTTATTTGAGTGTTCTGCCTGCATGTATGCCTGCATTACAAAAGAGGGCACCAGATCTCATTACAAGTGGTTGTGAGCCACCATGAGGTGCTGGGAATTGAACTCAGGACCTCTGGAAGAGCAGTCAGTGCTTTTAACCTCTGAGTCATTTCTCCAGCCTCAAATATTTTCCTACTTAAAAATTATTATTATTTTTTTACTTCTACAGTACACATTTCCTGTCTGATCTGGTCTGATATTTGTGCTGAGTCCCACAAGAAACTGCTTATTTCTGGAGAGTAGCACCATCATCCCTTGGAGAATCCCTGCCTCAGGAGCACCAGACTTCATGATGGGAAGACATGCTGGGTACTTGGCTTTCACAGATTGGAAACACAGGTCTGAGTACATTCAAGAGCGGGAATAAAAAGGGCTGAGCCTTGAAGAAGTAAACATGCTCCCTGCAATTTAGAGTCCTTGGCTACTAGAGCCACAAAAGGCCACATGTATGAACTATTACCATCCCTGTGACATCTCACAATGTCCGCTGGACATACACGAAATCCCCCAGGATCCGAACGGTACAGTGTCAGGGTAGGGCATCTTGTGCCCAAGTGGCTTCTCTTGAGCTGTGCTTCTCCAAGCTGCATAGCCCCGTTGGTTGCCATGGATACACTGCAATATCTGCTCTAGGACTAATTTCACACAGACCAAGGTGCCAGCTGAAATGCTGACTTTATATGTCTTAATCTGGAATATATTCTGCTGTCTGAACCAGCTCTAAAAAAATGGCAGAGATAATCTTAGGACTGACACTGGTAGCCTAAGGATTGTCTGTGAAAGTGGCTGTGGTTAATGTGGGTCCAGGGTCCCTTCTGTCAATCTTTCCAATCAATCAAACACTGTCAGAAAGACGCTGTCTTCGCGATGGCCCCTGGCAGCGGCACTCACGGGTGGTCAGTGCGTGCCCTGCATCTTATCCTGGTACTCCTTAACACTTGGAGCCTCTGTGTGCTCTAGTGATGCAGAGGAGCAAAACTCAGAAACCATGCGAAGAACTGAGATGCAGTCAACCCCTACTCAGCAAGCAATGCTACTCAAGTTAACATAAATTTCCAAGCTGAATTCTTCCAACCACCTGCCCCGCCTTCTAGTTTGGAAGTGAGAACATACTCAATGGAGAGTGCAGGGTTTAAATGTTACAGCTTTTATATATATACATACATACACATATATATATATATATATACATATATACACATATATATATTATATATAATGTTGAGGACAGGCAGTCGGCTGCTCTGGGTCCTAAAGGACATCAATTTGTAACCTAGTCTCTGTCTTTCTCACTGGGTCTCTTACTCCAATTACCTCTAAAATAATAAAGGCAGTTTATTAAATCCCACATAAACCCCACAAGGCAAATGTCACCGCCGGCCTTACAGATTAAAGAATTGAAACATGTCTAAAGTCAGGCGAGAGCCGGACCCAAACTCAGGCGGCATGGCTCAAAAGACTGTGCCCCAGCGCCCCGCACCGCGGACTGCTTGGCTCCATTTACACCGCATGGCTGTCGCCCTGCTGGAAGTGCTCTTACCTGGTCCAGGTCCTGGGGCTCCACACAGACAGAGCTGTCTCACTGATGTCCTCGGCCTTTAAGTTCTCTTTCTAGGGTAGCCCTGCTGCTGGCCCCTCTGCTTCCCGCTAAGGTTATTCCCCCAAATTGGTTTGATGACAAAAATCTACCTGAAGAACTTGTTAAACCCACAGCCTCCCCCACCCCCCACCCCCGTCCCGTTCCCGGAGATTCTGATTCATTGGGTCTGACATGGTCTTAGAAATGTGTATTTTTAACAAGTGCCCCAGGGGCTTCTTCTCTTCTGCAGGTTTAAGAGATGCTGCTCGGGGACCTTTAGCCAATGGGAACAACCACTGCTGCCCTTCAGGATCAGATACTGAGTCAAATTATTACTAGGAAGATCGCATTTCTACAGCGGCATTAATCCAAAGTGCTCAGCACATATGGCACTAAGTGGTTTTGGTTTTTTCCAGGGAGGATGGGATGTCATGCTGGGTGAATTGGGATGTCTGTGATTTTTTTTTTTTTTTCCGTCTCCTTTTCAAGTGATGACTGTTGAAAGAATTCTTTAATGGTTGTGCCCTTGAGGGAGTTTCTGTATTGCTCTGGTCATGGAACAGCTTAAATCAAATAAAAAGCATGTCATTCAGTATAGTTCTCTTAAGTCTGCCTATGAGAATTTTGAACAAGAGAAATTTAAATGAAAAGGAGAAAGGAGTTTATCGACTTCTCTTTTCTTGAAGGACCCTACAGCAAATTCTTTGTATAACTAAGACTGAAGGACCTGGGCCTTTCAACTTAAATGCTCATGAACCATGAACACAGAATGACTTAAGAGTACTTTATAGGAGATTAATTTAATTTATAGACTGTAATCAGATGCAGAAATGATCTTTGATAGTAAAAGAAATCAAATACAAAATTGTCGAAACTTATGACTAGTAAATTGTGCTTAGTGTTGGTAGAGATCTCGAACCCGCCTAACCCACTCTGACTGACAACACTCGCTGCCTGTCACTGTGGTCTCTCCGCTGTGCACTGGCCAGAGCTGGACGTCAACAGCTGAATTATGAGTCAGAAGGGGCGGGAGGGTGAGGACAGAAAATGACATCAAGAGGATGTCAGTGGGGGTAGGAACGCCAGTCTTCCCGCCCAGTGGGACACTCTGCCCAAGCCCCGCTTCTGAAAGGGCAAGGGCATCAGCGGCACAAGTCCGCCCCCAGCTTCCAGGTACAAGACGGACCTACCTCTTGGTGGGAGTGGGCACTCCAGAGGACATGTGGCTGACCACGGTGTCGTTCATATTAGTCAGGGGGCGAGGAGGGCTGAAAGAAAGAGAGATTTGCATCACATTAGTAATTACCAGGGCTGGAGGAAACAAAAGAGGAGAGTCGGCAAAGGACCGGCTACCACGGTTCCTGATACATGCCGGGCCAGATGGCTGCGGGCTCAGAAATAGATTCTTCAGGCCTACATAAATTCAACAGGATGGGTTCTCACTCAAAGGCCCCAGCACTGAAGCTGGGGCAAACCGGGAAGGCGACAGATTATAAAGACATTACTTTGGAGCAGGGTGTATTGGGATATCCTAGAATTTAAGGCCAGCCTGGGCCAGTGAGTAGACTGCCTCACCCCCCCAACACATACAAAAGGGAAAAAAAAAGCTTATTTGGGGATGGAACTGCTTGCTCCTGCTGTGTAGTTTTCATACAAAAGAATATAAATCCACTCACTTGCTACTGTGCCCATTCTTTTGACGGTGGTGGGATACTGGGAATTGAATGCAACACCTTGAATATCCTAGGCAAGTGCTGTATCACTGAGCTATAGTACCATTCTGACTTGCTTTTAGTTTTTTGTTCATTCTTGTTTTTGTTCTTGAGCTCAGACTGGCTCAAGATGGAAATCCTTCTACCTCCACAGCCTGAGTGGCTGGCATACGCCACCAAGTCAGCTCATACTTTTAATTAATTTTAATCTGCTTTTTTTCTCCACCTTTAAAAATTACATGTGTGTGCGCGCGCGTGCACGTGAACACACATGTCTATGTGTGGTATGGGTGTGAGCATAGCGTCTTTTACCCATTGAGCCTCCCGTCTAGTATTCATGTCTGGTTTAAGGACAGGTCACGATGTCCACTTGTTACTTCCTCTGAGATTCAGTTAGTCACAGCTCATTGTTCTGTTATATTCAATTTGCAAACGTTTTATCAAAACATTTAAATTTCTTTTTTCTGAGACAGGGTGTCAGGTAGCCCAGGTCAGCATCAAACTTTCTGGGCTGCCTAGGATGACTCTGAATTCCTCCTGATCTCCTGCCCCTACCTCCTAAGTGCTGGGATGGTAGATGTGTGCCACCACACCAGACTCCGAAGTATTTGGTTCTTAAATACTAAATAAAAAATAAGACTGCTCATGCCTGGTATATGAACCTGGTCAAGAGCCCACGGCTAGGGAGATCGCAGGTCATGTGGAGAACCTATTAGTGTAGCTTTGCCAAATGGATGTCAGCTGCCTTCTAAATACATCTGCACTCAGAGACCAGCAAGAAGCTTCTTTGGGCAATGGGCAGCAGTTAATGGAAAAACTCCTAACTGATGGAAGAACTACTCCTGAGAGTGAGTGACTGCTGAGTGCTGGCCCCTGGACGGGCATCTGTATCACCTCATCCAAGGCTCCAGGAACACCACGAAAGAGAGAGCAGATGAATTCGAGAGCCAGTGGGCGGGAAAGAGTGCTGTGAAACAGTCTTCTGGACGCCGCATGCTGGCTCACTCACAAGCGCACTGCAGCTGTGGTTAGCAGAACGAGACCTGCCCAGAATCAGGCCGGTCAGCGTTTTCTCGTGGGTGGGAGAAGGGCTCAGGCTCATGAGACTTCATTCCTTTTTGAGGGACTGCTGGCAGTTTGTGGCTTTTGGGGAGAGGGGTGCCGCTGTCTTCAGGGGTGGTGCCGGCGATAAAGTCATCCAAGCTCCAGTAGGAAACACTCAGGTAGTTGCTGGGTCCTCCTCGCCTCCGAGACAGTGGCTTGCACGGAATGTTTTGAAGAAGCTACATCGGCACTGCCCCGTGATGGCGAGGGCACAGCTACTTGACTGTTTGGCAGGTTGCACACAGTACCTTCATGCAAAGGCTCTGGGGACTTAGTTTGGGGAGAGCCAGCGGGCCCAGAGGAAGAGAGAGAATCCTCTCTCTACATACCCATGCACCTCCAAACTTTCTTTACACTAATTCCATTTCTGAGTAAGGCACCTTTAAACAATTATTTCCCATTTAATGGAGGAAATCCAAAATGGAAAAGTGGATGCAAGAAGCAGATCTGGGGCATAGCCAGGCCTCTGTGTTTTGTTTTGTTTTGTTTTTTTAGGGCAGGGTCTCAGGGGACAGTCCAGGTTAGCTTCATGCTTCACCTTTCCAAGTGCTTTGATAAAAGGCCCAAGTCACAGTGCTTGGCTTAGACGCTGCTTGATGAGAGAAATATGCCTTCCCAGGCTAGATTTCAATTCTAAGCTATTCATCTGCCGTCCGGTCTCCAGACGAACATCTAAACCTGCAAGCTTGTTAATGCTAATGGCTGCACTGAGTTATAATCAATTAATCAATCGCTTTAGGTTGACTAATGAAGGGAGAAAATGGATAGATTAGCTTACTTCTAGTCCTAAATTTCTACTTTTGCCTCTGGGTCTTTTAAATCAATTGTCCTGCTTGAAACAAGGAGCCGATCCCTATAGAGGAACCAAGTCAGAGGAGCGGCAGTCCGCACTCTAAGGGCACCAGACACGCTGGTCAGGGACAGAGCAGGCTTGGCTTCTCGGGGTATTATTACTAGCGACCCACTTCTGAAATAAGGACATTTCACGTTGCTTTCAGAACTAATGTAGTTATCTGCTTTACTTCAATTTTAAAGATATCACTGCATCCATTTTCTTGTTGACACTCTCAGAGGAAATAAATACAGTCGAAAAAAATTTAATTTCTTGAACATGAGTACATATGACAAAATGTCATGATCTGTAGCATTGTGTTGGGTCTGATGCCAGAAGAGTCTTCATATCTCTTGGCAGATATCACAACCAACTATTTATTACCTTTTCACACAAAGAGAAGCCAGATACTCATGATTACATCATATTCTGGAAACTCCTCACACCACCGCCCCCCAGTCCACATCCTTTCTAGACATCTACCATATACTAAAGAGACAACTCGGCTTTACCGAACAATGAAATTGGAACTTGCAAATCTCAACAAGGTCCTCAAAACGGGATCACCACCAGAGCTGCAGGCCACTGGGAAAGCCAACGACACCGAAGCATTCTTAGGAAATGCCTCTTGGGGGCTGGAGAGAAGATTCAGTGGTTAAGAGCATTGACTGCTCTTCCAGAAGACCTGGGTTCAATTCCCAGCACCCACATGGTGGCTTACAACTGCCTGTAACTCCAGTTCCAGAGGACCTGACACCCTCTTTCGGCCTCTGCAGGTACCAGGCAGGCATGTGGTGCACAGACCTGCACACAGGCAAAACAGCCACACACATACCATAAAAAAATAATAGTTTCCTGTTTGCCAGTAGGATATCCACCCCCCAAATGAACAGATAGAAGCAGATCAGTGACGTAGGCAGAAGACGAAAATAATTTGCTAGTCAGGAAAAATGTCTGGCGTCTCTCCCTCTCCCTCTCTCCCTCTTTCTCTCTCTGTGGGGGAGGTGGGGGTGGAGAAGAGACACAGAGGTGTATATATACACATGTGTGCAAGCGTGCACACACGCAGATGCCGGGTAATGTTGGATGGCCTGCTCTACCATGCTGCACCTTATTCCCTGGAGACAAGGTCTCTTACTGAACTTAGAACTAGGCTGACAGCAAGCAGCCCCTGGGGTGGATCCTTCTGTCCCCCACAACCCTCACAACACTGGGGTTACAGGAACGTGTGTCCCCACCAACACGGCTTTTTATGTAGGTTCTGAGAGTTCAAACTCAGGCCTCAGGCTTGTGCAGCAAGCGTTCTTACCCACTGTGAGTAATTCCCCAGCCCCTGTGAGTCTTTTTGATTTTTGTTTGAGACAGAGTCTTGCAGTCATCCTGACTCAGCATCCTTTATGTTAGGAAGTTTGGATGGAACCCAGGACCCTGGGTATATTAGGCAAGTGCTCTATCACTGAACTACATCTATTATAGTTGTGGCCACACTGTCCAGTGCCTTTTTCTTTTCTTTTCTTTCTTTCATTTTTATTTTTTAAAAATATAGTGTTTCTCTGTAGCTTTGGCTTTCCTGGAACACACTCTGTAGACCAGGCTAGCTTTGAAATCACAGAGATCTGCCTGCCTCTGCCTCCAGAGTGCTGGGATTAAAGGCGTGCGCCACCACTACCTGGCTTATTTCTTTTTAACATTTATTTTTTGTGTGCATAACTGTCTGTGCACCACACATGTACCTGGTACCTAAGGAGGTCAGAAGAGGGTGTTGGATCCTCTGAAACTAGAGTTAGGGATGGTTGTGAGGCATCATGTGGGTGCTGGGAACCAAACCCAGGTCCTTTAGAAGAGCAGCTGGCGCTCTTAACCACTGAGCATCTATCTCTTCAGAGCCTTGTTGTCATTTTGTTTGTTTGCTTGGAGACAGGACCTCGCTATGTCGACCAGGCTGTCCTAGAACTTGCTCTGTAGACCAGGCTAGCCTTGAGCGCACAGAAACTCGGAGATCTGCTGCTTCTGCCTTGGAGTCGGGCTTCTCTTTTTATTTCTTAAAGGGTAAGAGGCATGTTTCCCGAGTGCATAGTCATAAAAGGTAAGACTCTATCTCAATAGTTAAGTACACATGTATGGGGACAGATGTGCAGTCCCAATGCCAAGGACAGAGTGAGGCGGAGCGAACAGACCCTGGGGGAAGATGAGAGTGTGCTCCTGCCCGAGGCGTCGAGGTGAAGTGACAGGGAGAAGGGCCTCCCGGGAACATGAAAACCATCACGTCACCCTAGACAGACGAGGCATAAAATAATTCAGGGCATACTGGGTTCAACACATTTGATTAGATCCAAAGACACCAGGGGGTAACGGGAAAGGCAGGTGATGGTCACGGCAAGGAGGAATCTTGGTCTCTCACTAGCTCAACAATTCTGAGTCCGTATAATAAGCTCCCAGTGGTTTGTTTCTGTCTGAGACAGGGTCTCCTACGTCACCCGGGTTGACCTCAAACTTCAAACTCTTCTCAGGCTCCTGAGGCTGGGATTTCAGGTGTGCAGCACCACATTCAGCCTGTATTAAGTATTTCCAACATGGAAAATGATGTGATCACAGTTGATTTTTTATTATTGTTTTAATT